TAAAATATGTGCTATAAAATGCTTAGGCACATTGATAACTAGGACATTATATCACTACATATTATGAGTACTTCTAGGAATCATAAATACAGTATATTTCTATGTTGTGGTCTATTATGCGATAAATCTTTTTAAATATTATTTATTCAATTGGTTACAACTAAATATAAATGCCAATAGATTGTATGGGAATAGTTTTGATTTGACAGATGCCTTGATCAATTAAAATATTGTTATATTTCTCATTTGATCTCACATTATAATTATAATTTCATTTATACAATATGCTTTGTTTCCTTAGAAACTTGTAGTAAATATAAGTGTTTGGATCTAATAAAAAACACACTATTATTAACTTACTGCACTGTTATTTTAAAACAAAACAATACCTATGTGAATACATTCAATAGGTAATACGTTAGTGAAAATATCATGTAGTTTTCACAATATTTATGTAATATTGTAATACTGTAGTAATTAATTTTTCAAATGAACGGTAAATGTCTAGTTTGTGGTGATAAAGCGAGTGGTAAATATTAAACTCCATTATTAATTAATGATGATTATTTTGTATATTTAATTAATATACTTTGTATTTCAGGTAAGAATTTCAATGCCATAACATGTGTCTCATGCAAAACCATATTCCGGAGGAATGCATCCAAATATGAGGTAATAGTCTATTGTAATACTAATCACTTTTAATGAATTTTAATAAAATTATATCGCAATGTAATAGACTTTTAAGTGTTATTTCAACAACGATTGCGTAATCGATGTGTTGAGGAGAAAGTTTTGTAAGAAATGTCGACTCAAGAAGTGTTTCGATGTCGGCATGAAAAGGGTAACTAAAAAATATACTCATTTATTTGTTAACTATACCCTGATAACTGATTTACTATTGATTTGATAGGAGAATATTCTGAATGAAGACGAGAGAAGATTGAGACAAAATATGATACAAGAAAACAGAAGGAAAAGACAAATGATTTGTGAGGCGCAGAGTGTGGTCATTGATTCGACCACATCTGATACCTCGAGCAGTTTTCATGATAAACTCCAGATTAGTACCAAGCTTACTAAAAACTATGATATTGACAACAACTGCCCGCCATATGAAACACCCGAATATAACTATAAGCTAAAAGCTATTGAATACCAATATTTAGTCTCGCAGTCCATCGATCCGTTCACTATTAAAAGCAATAATAATTACTTTAATGACATTGAAATGACACGATTGACAGAACTGT